TGAAAAACAATATTGGCGTGAAGGCGAGCATGCGCGAGTGCGTGTTTGCGCTCCACTTTGTTTATTATCACCTATTTTACGGATGACCATGGTATCCACATTTGGGTTCGGTAAACATATAACGGTACGCGGTATACGTAATAACCGCATAGCAAATAAGGGACAGTTAAATTCAGAATTGAGTAAAGGCATTGCCGTGCTTGCTTCTGTGACATCCACGATTTGGTACCGTCATTCATTATGTCGATTCCTCATCATCATCAGTTTTTATTTTGAACACAATTATTTTATTCAGTCTCATAAAACCCTCAGCAGACCAATCGAATGAAAGTAGAACGTATGCAGTGGTGAGATTAGCTGGATAAATGGTCACATTACCGTGATCGAAAATCTATTGTATAGTTATTATTCTTCGTGCAATCGGAAATGCCTAAAATACTTTCACAGTTATTACATCAACAATGAGATCACAGGGAATGGCTGGAGTTTTACAAGAATGTGATTTTGCGCGTGCAAAGTTTTAGGTGTATATATTGGAACCTCAACGCTGGTTACTTAGTAAATAAACAACAACCTGACAAAACCCTATACAAGTCCGGATTTGGCCATTGTCTCACATTGCGTTGTATCTCATTCATTCTTATTATATGATATTTCACACCTGTCTGAGGGCAGACTGTGTGTCAAGCAAATCATGATACAATAATCTTTATAAAAAAGAAAAACTTTTCATGATTGGCTTGTGGACTGAATACTGCCAGGTTGCCCAGGCCAAGACAGGTGAAATTTCTTAAGGGATTCACAACCGGAGTCTTCGGCTAGCCAAAGCCTGACCCGAAAGGCAGCGTGGCGGTGTGAAAACCGCAGTCCATTGGGAACCGGTGTCCAATTCATCGGACCATACACCCTTCAGATGGGGTCAAACATCCAAGGTGCCCATATACCGAAATGCCCAATCGAGCCGGTGACTTCTGCCACAACCCGGAAGGTGTGAGTGTGATTCGTACGCCTCCTCTTGGTTGGTTTGGAATCAGGGGTTTTGGTCAACTCCCCTAGGTGAACTACTAGTGGTCCACCAACCCGGTTAAAGCCCCGGATTTCGGCTTTTCGTCCTCTCACTTTGGTGGGAAACACCTCCGCCACGAGAAGGCAGTGAGTAGGGTTTCTACTTTCTACTTCTACTTTACAACGAATGACAATGAAAGAAACCAATATCCGAAAATCGGCTGCATGCATGAAACATGTACTTCTGATCCAGTCCTTTGCGTTTCCTAAGCATCGTCCAGGATGCCTAGTCCTCCTCCAACTTCGACTCCATGTGCTGTTTCCTCTCTTTTATATACATGTTCTCCCGGAATTCATTAACTCCGTTAATTGAAAACTAACTGATCGTGCTTGGGTTGGATTAAAGGTGTCATATCTCACACTCAGCAATGCCTTACAAGTTCTGGTCTACGTCTTTCCTTCCTTACATTAATGTGCTCCAAAATTGTTGTAATTTAACAAAATATAAGGTTGATAGAAAGTTGTTCCCGAAGGATTTGCTATTAATTATCATGAGTGGTGATGCTCCAATTCACTTCTTTGCCTTACTTGCTGAACACGATCTCTTCTCATTGTGAATTATCTCCTTGAGTTCATCCTATATATCGACCTATTAGTGTTGTTGTCTACACCGACGATTTTCACTGTTATCCATCGTTGTATTCGTGATCGTCATATCCTATACTCTCCGTGCATTTCGAATTGGCTGATATTGTCTTTTGTTGTGTACGTTTAGCCAAGATACTTGAATAAATTTTAACCCGCGTTTCGTTGAAGAAAATTCTCGGTGCTGAAGATTCTCTTACTTTCCACTTTATGCGTCGGTTTAGCTACCTCGGTTCCCTCAGGACATACGGCTCTAGCCACACTGCCACAAGGAGCTCCTATCTACATGGACCTAATTTGGGTTCCAGGCTATTTGGTCCGAGTGCCCCAGTCTATGGTTGTGGAATTTTTCAGCCGTGTTCGAGCTCGTACCTACGTGCTCTCGGGAGACGCTCTTCATCCAATGATTGGTGAGGCGCTGATCGAGGGCAAATCAAAATGGAGTCCGAACGGTAAACAACCTCATTTGTTTTCATTGTTGCTTGTTATTTTTGTAGTCATGTTAAAATTGCGAGACAGGAATTCAAATACGTGTTAATAAATCTGATCTAATTAAAAACTTGAACGCATCTCCTCTCAAATGCAACGAGGGTGGCATTACTTGTAGCTTTTGCTAATACCCAGACTACATGAATTTTTAAGTTCGAATGAAGTGCGTATTCAATCTCTGTTAAGCATAGATAAATTTGCCTGTTCGAACTGGTTAAATTTCTGTGTTCCATTGACTAGACCAGATGGCGGACATTTGAACCACTAATTTGACCCGTGATGATTCTTCCAGTGTTTCGTTTAGATACCGTTTTTCATACAGAATGTACTGTCTAATTTCATCTGTTACTGAAAATCAAAAATATGGTATCACTACGCTTTCTTATTTGACACTTAATTTTACTGTGGAACGTTTTTGTGAACACTTCATATATGGGTAACACTTCAGATCCAACTCACCTTAAGTACCTAGCCAATTCCACCCATTTCATATTAATGTATCACTGTGGTCGTCCTATCAAGATTATTCACCGATGTATAGCCAGTAAATAAAATAAAATATTTTATATAATGGCTTCGCTGCTCAGAAAATGGTAACAAATGGGGGGGATATAACCTAGAACACTATTCTTCAAAGATTTTGGTTATTCTTGCCAATTACTGATTCAACTCTCAGGAGTTGAATAAAACATGGCGTCCAGCTGAATTTCGGTAACTGAGATTGTGACTTCTCTCCCTTTATTTTGTTCAAGATATCGAGTTACTGCGCAGGCAAACCAACTCTGATGAACTGGACAATGCAATCTGTATTCTTCCCACCGACGAACCGTATGAATGGGGATGTTGGTTACGTACCCCATGTGGTCGGGTGAATCGTGATACCGGTGAGGCTCGCCTTCAGGCTGCTGGATTCAAAGTGCTACCCAGTGCGAGTTGTTGTGACATTGAATTCTCAGCCGGGGCAGTCAATGTGCGATGTGAAGGTGTTCGGGTGGAATTCTAAAACCCGACTCGTATTAATCCGTCCATGGAACTTATTCTTCACATATTCTCCGTCCCCCTCACCTCTCCTACTCTTTCCCCTACGAGTGTCCTTACACCTCTCGTTGTGTGAGAATACCTGATTGAGTAAATGATTGTGTGAACGTGGGTGAGTCCGGATTCGTTCGTAAGTATGAAGATCTGAATGGTGACCCTGAATCTCCTTGTTTCAACCTACAAACATTTTTTCCCACGAATTGATTGCATAACAAGTGGACGACAAATGAACGAGTGATTCAGAAACTTTTTGGATGTGAAGCGACCGGTGCATTTTCGTTCATTGTCATTCACCATACCGCAGTGCCGTTCAGATATCCATGCGTCATTTATATAATGTTTATATGCTCACACATACAACCTGGCATATATTCACTCATACGCAAACATATATCCACCGCAGACACGCTTTTAGGAATCCGGATAGTCTTAAGTTCGTTATCATCTTATTTGATAATGTGGACGGTCATGACGATGCGTTTGCGCGATCGTCATTTGCTCTTTATTCTCTCTCCCGTGATTGTCGGATTTCGTCTGTCTGGTCCTCGTCATTTGCGCCAACTCTACCGATCGGATCACTTTTGGTTCAGCACATCACAGAGTAAGAGAGGTATGGACGGAGTCCTCTTACACACACCCTCTGATTGTCTGTCAGCCCACCGGGAATTAGAGGGTACACTCCTTTTCTCGTCAACCGGTTTTCTTTTTTGTTCGCTCTGTCGCTCACCATTTCAGTTTTGCATACAAACTTTTGCTCGCCTCATCCCATTTATGGTCGTATCGGTGGAGACCGTGGCACGTGCGTCCAAGCATTCTCTAACGAGGGTTTCCATTCGTGATATTTTCCATACTACACATTCAGACTTGAAAAACAAAAGCACGGAAGAAAACGTGTATGTGAATTGTCTGATGGTTCAACCTCCCATCCCTCGCACTTTCATTCTGACGTTTTAGTTGTGTTTTAGAGCTAATAGGGGTGAACTTGTCCGTCATTCTTTCGCATGCTCTCTTTCTTTGGCGTTCTCTCTTACTTCGAATCAACTTCGCACATCTGGACATCAATCTCCAAAAGCGACCGACTATTCAATTCATCAATTCGTTAATTGATTACCTGTTTGGACTCTAGTTGCTATCTGTTTGATTCTGGAGTCTATTCTTACGTCTTGGTTCTTATACTGTCTTTTCCGATCACGTTTCAGATTGCAATCTCATCACATACACACACTGAACTTGTTCTTTGCCACTTGCTCTCATCAACCTTTTTTTTTATTTCGTTTCATTTTTATTGAACAATTTGTGGTTCTAATTTGTCCTCATTTCCTTTTTGCTTCCTTGGTTCATTGTCATCCGCGATCTCTTGCTCCGTTCCGTTCTATTTTGTTTTGTTCGTCCCTTTCCAGTTCCATTTTGTTCAGCTCTTCTTATTACTCTTAATCCTCATTGGGTCGTTTTGCTACTGTTTTCTTTCATGTCTTTGGTGTTGTTGTTGCCACTATTAATCTGGCTGTTATCATCCCTGTGTTCCTCTCGCTCACGGGCATAGACCCGGACCTAGTTGCACATCTGTGCACTAAGGACTACACACACCATCAGTGCCATGCGTCTACCACTGACTCATTCTTTCTACCATGCTCTCGACCAAATTGTTTTTAGCTTTCCTTGTGCATCTGTCCTCTTGCCCCAGCATACGGTCACGTGCACGCTGACTCATTCACAAATCAGCGTGCTTGGGAAACAATGCCCTCTCGTGCGACCGCTCACGCCGCTGGATTTCGTGCTCCACATTGCCTTTCATATTGCCTATATGTTTGAGCCACATGTTGATCACCAGCCACGCGTCATGCATTCGCCTTCCATCTCGTATACGATCGACTTTTCCTCCCTCTCACTGTCGCCTTCTGTCCTCATTTGGGCGATTTGGGCAATGATGTGCGTTTTGCCACTCTGCTGATCGAACAAGCACTTAGCTTGAATTGTCACGTATCATGACAATTGTTTTTATCCTTCCTTAACGCCTATGTAGCTCCTGGGTAACGGTTGGCGTAGATAGAACTGTTCCATACTGAATACAGCACAAAGGCTGTATATAAGAGGGCTGAGCAAAACACTTTCTGGACACACAAAGAATTTTATTGGTTACACAAAAATAAACATTACATTTTCTCGAATTATTCTCCACCAGCGTTCATGCACAGTTCCATGCGCTCAAACCATTTGGTGAAGCAGGTAACACTTCGATCAGTTCAGTAAGGCCTCAGCTGCAGCTGTTTGTTACTCATATCGGATTCCATTCACCATGCGCTTGATATTTGGGAACACAGTGCTACTTAAGGGCGCGTCATCACCAAAGGCAGCTCGTAAACGATCAACACTCTGCTACTGATTGAAGCCACATTTATAGTTGTAGAAAATCGTTACTCTCCAATTACATCGACTAAGTTTGAGTATCCCTTATGATTTGTGGGCTGTGTCCGGCCGGTAATATTTGGTTGTGTGTTGCAATCATTGAACAATATTCGCAATAGATTACAGTTCACGTTTTCCTTGCCCGGTAATTTACACCTCGTACGTGTACTGCGTATCCGGAAACGCTTTGCTAATCTCCCGTGTATATNTATATATATATATATATGCGCAAAATGTACTCCGTGCCAAGATTAAAAACAGCAGTTGAATAAAGATCACATTGAAAAGAGAGACTATCTCACCAAGGAACTTCTTGCTTTCAGACACTAAAATTCCCACCGCTGTATGCAGAGGGTTTTTGAATTAATTGACTATCTTAGAGTTTCAATGCAGTTAACAACTCCCAGCTATTAAATAAACGGCTGTAATTAACATTTTGTCCACTGGATTCCAGTCCAGCCTCGAGATAAATCTTTATTCTGGATGGAAAGAAGTATTCAGTCTGGTTCAGAAACCGGCCGCTCAAAAATCTTTTAAAGAATTGTTAAATCATTCCCGCGGAAATCCTAACCTCGGCCATTTTGGTTGTTGTGTACTTTCGAATTAGAAGAAAACGGAGTATAACCGCAGTGCCCATACACGTCGACCACATCTTTTAAACCTATTCAGTCCATTAAAACAATAGTCCTTCACACCGCTCTGAAAAGGATGAAGAGGGTTTTTCAATTTATTTGATTCATTTATGATACTTCCAATCAACCGGTGCAAGTAAAAACAAGCGACAAATTTAACACCACATACAAATATCAACTCCAGGAAAAACAATGAGCGTGTTCTAACAGATATGTATAAGTTTGTTTTACGCTACGGTTGACTGCAATACTACGTGAAAAATCAGCACTCATAAGTTCTGTCGATCACGCAAGAGTGTTTTTGCTCTCTAGTTGCTGAAATAATGGCAAAAAAATAAATCTCACCAGACCGACTTCAAAACACTTCTGTGGAATCCCAACGATTGGAACGTATTTGGGAAAACCGAATGGAAAAATCACTGTTCAGTAACGGGTTACGCTTTGCCGAGGTTCACTGTTGACTGAACAATTGAAGGGTGATTTCCTTCATCAACACTTTTTTGTTCGTCCCAATAAATTTCGAGCAACACTGCACTGAAATGAGAAGGAGAACAAATCTCAGTAGCTCAAATATGCAGTTAATTATATGCAAGTTTGCATGCACGCGTGTAAGCGATACGGTAACATTTACTTGTTTCCGGATTGGCTGCGTCAGAAATGAAACCGGTAGAATTAAAAGGCATCAGGGAGCCGACCTTCCGTGATGCCCTATAATAGTGGGACGAAATGTTCCTTTTTAAAAAGGGGTTCTTGGGATAGAAAGTTTGAATTACCCGGTAAATCTGTATGGCACAATAATACATCGATATTTTATACATCAAGTATGATTATGAAGAAAAGAGGGTTCTATGCTTGTAGTATTTTTACCCGTACTACCAATACATTTATTTACTCACTCCTTGATTTGTGACTCATTTTTGTCTCCATCAGTTTTATATAATTTTACGCAGTACAGTGCCATAATTTAGCTTTTGTACATATCGAAAAACTTGTTTAAAGTATTCTAAGTGGCCCGGTTAAATGGAGCTTGGTTATACATTGTACCTTGGCAATATGGTCTCCTAATGCGACGGAATAATTGTGAAGCAACAAGGAGATTCGCGAAAAGAAGCCTTTCATTCCCGGCAGAAAAATGCGTAACAAGAATTGTATACAAAATCCTTTGTGGTTTGATTGGAAAAACTAGGAACAAAGTGGATGGAAATCAGCATATTTGAAAAATGTTCGAAATTTCAGTTAACTGAGAGCTACAGAAATTGTAATAAAAAATACATTTTTATGACCAACCGACAACCACTTCACAAGCACTGATGATGTTACCTCGGCTGGTGATGAAACGTTTGCAAACAAATTGCCAAGCTCGGCGAACAGGCGAAATGGAAATACAATAGGTTATCTCGTAAATCGGGTTAAACAGCTTGACGTCCGGTTGTTAGCTTCAGTTAACAAAACTACCAAGGATGAACGAAAAGTTGAGATAGTGAGAGGTATTTATTGTGCGGTTGCCGATGTGAGTTCTTGAATAGCCTGACGTTAAAACGTGGATCTTTTTTGTTGGTGGGCTCACATATGCTCAATGCCGGTAGGGTATGGATGCGATTTTCGACCGTCTTCCGGAATGCATTGGTCGTTCCCAGGTCGACTGACGTGCTTTTTGTGCAGTTCGGGCAAATTCCATCCCGCCCGCTCTGATCGATCCCCTCATCAGATAGACGCTTTTATGTGATTGCTGCTGGTGCACCAATTTAATGCGATTCCTCCCCCTTCCCTAGGCCTAGAGAAATTTCTGTGAGCTTTTCATACGCTCCTGATCAGTGATTTTTACACTGTGAAATACTGGAAGAGAAGGTAAATCGTGATGGGCGAGTAATGTTACTGTATTCTACTTCGTAGTTTGCACTTTCCTAACTTTAAAACTTTTAGTGCA